AACTTTTAAATTGTTTCTTTTTTTCATTTAGGCCTTCGTTTTTCGTTAAATGAAAGTTATATTAAAAAAAAATCTCTATTTTTAAACCAAATTTTCGCATGATTGAAATGATTATTCATGTTTAAAGTTTTTTTTTGGTCATAAGCGCTAATGGAAATGTTTTTTTGTAAATAATTATAAAAAATTACTCCCTACGAAGACTTTATTCTGTACTGGATCAAAAAATAAGTATTTGTTTTCTCTATACGGTGGTATTAATATATCGATTTTTGATGATAGTGCCTTTTTACCCTGTTTAATTTTGTACTACTTTCGGAATAAGGGTCCCCATATCATGTACTGTGATGTACTGTACTTCCATCCCTGAAAAATTCAGCTTGTGACACCGAAGTGAGAGGTAACGTCAAAATAAGCTTTAATCTACCTACATCATCATAGGTAGGTGTAGGTACTCTAGGTAAATTCTACCTAGACAGTAGCTGAACTAGCTGACAGTAGTAATTAATTTGTTATCCGATAAGTAGTTGTCATTATATAAGTTTAATCGTCTTATACCTCCTATAACGGTAGGTTTTGGATTTTTCCTGATTGGTTTGTTAAACAAAAATATACTGGGCATATAAATGTCTGTTACAGGTTAATTCGTTAAAGAAATATGTTACACACATATTATTTTAATAATAATAGTATAATAGTAATGGCTATATTATGTTATAACACATTATTGAATTAACAATTGAAAACAGTATTGAATGTACTTATTTTAACCAATGCATTGTTTTGTTTTTTTAATCTCACAAATAAGAAATATTTTATAGTTTTTATTATAAAAAACAGTGATTATACAATTTATTTACACCCCTTACACTGTTTTCTGTAAGGGGTGTAACCAGGAGTATATTTCGTAACCTTTTACGATATAAGAGGGCACAAAGTGTTTTATTACTTAATGCTTAAAATTTAATAATATATTTGTACATAAAATAAAATAGACTAGAAAGTCAATTAATTAATATTGACGTAATTACTAAATAAGTACAAGATTTTTTTTCTAATTATTTTAGTGTATTTTTAGTCACCGAATTATAAAGGAGAGATATCCAACCATTGCATTATTTTACTCACAAATAAATGTTTTATGGTTTTTATTATAAAACAACGATTAATTTATTATACACCCCTTAACCCAAACACTCCAAGGAGGATATTTCGTGACCCCGTATTTAAAGTGGACAAGGTTTATTAGTCAATGTTTTAATTACCCAGCGTCTTTAATAAAAATCTAATGTAATTTTTCATAGAAATGATCTGACATGAAAAGCAAATTTTATCAAAAAACTTTTTGATTATCTACAAGGAGTAAACCGCTGACAAATGTCTGTATACTAATGCCAAAGTAATGCCAAAAATACAAATTAAATACCAAAATTTCTCATATAATGCCCCACTAATGCCAAGCTGATTCCAATATAATACCACTAATACCACGAATAATATGTAACACATTTGTTTCACGAATTAACCTGTAACAATACTGGTAGGTACGTGCACAGATTTTTTCCTAGGTAACTTAAAAGTCGTTAAAAAGTCTAATTATATTTAAAGAAGATATAATTCCAACAAATTACATTATAAGGCCAATAATGCACAAGTAATACCATTAAAATTTTAGCGTTTTTAACTTGTGTAACATATTTCTTTAACGAATTAACCTGTAACAATAGTGGTAGGTACGCGCACAGATTTTTTCGCTAGGTAACTTATTAAGTCGTTAAACAGGCCTATAAAAGCTATAACAACATAGGTAACTAATATTTATAATTTAATTCGAGTTTTAATCTCAAATAATAAATGTTTTTACTGGTGTATTTCTGAAGTGTTCATTATTAAAAGTAGATATTCTTCAAGTTATGCGAAGTAATAAGTAATGTTTCCGGTGAGACCGCGTATATGTCACCGGATTCTGGTTAGTATAAAGACTTTTTCTATAGAAAGAGTTTTTTCTATATTTTCCTTTCAAAATAAGACTAATTTCTTCTTATTCTTTTAAATATTACAGTGTTTCTTTTTCCTAAAATGTTATACTTAATTTTCGCTTAAAATTAAAAAATCACAAATGGAGGAAAATATACGTTATTGAATAAAGTTTATACAAATCACTTTACCATAACAAAAAAGTAAAAACATGTCATGGCGGAAGATATTCAGGTGGCATTTCACACATTTATCTATTAAAATCGAGATTAAAATAATAAACTTGCGTAACATGTTATACACGAGATAGAAAGTTTCAGAATCGATTAATACGCAATACGCTACGCAGTCAACTTATTCCTATGCGCGGATGAGCGTCTTCAAGACTCTTCCTTCGGCCAGGGTCACGACGCCGCCGAAGAGGAATCGGCCTACGTTTGGCTAAACAGGCTGGACACGGTGGAGTACGATATTGGCGAGTCTGAATATTTATAAAAATTTGCAAAGTAAAATATGTTGGAAAAATAATTAATCCATACATATATAAAAGCTCAAAGGGTTTTTTTGTTGCATCCATCCCGCCGAAACCGCTTTACCAATCTTGATGATTCTTTTTTTAAATGAAAGGTATATATGTGTAGATTTGTTATGAAGTATTTTTATAGTGCTTAATGGCTATTTCTTTGTGTAAAACGACTAAATACTAAAACATACCTGAAAAACACCTACACACAATACCTCCAGAAATAAATTATTTGTCATTGTCAGTGGTGTGTCAGTTAGATTATATATTACGTTTTTAGATATTTTAGAGTGAGTTCATGCCGCCAGCTTTAGATACATAAATATTAGCACAAAGGTTCGTTTAAACGACATTAGTGAATTAGCTACACAAAGCGATTTTAGGAAATTCATCCTCTTAGAGAGTAAAATTATCTCGGAACAGTTTGTTGTATGAAAATTCCTTACTATTTGGTCTAGAAGAATGAAATCCTACAAAAAGAATTAGAAGAAATTTTTGAAATTCATCAACCAAATGGGTAAAGTTAGTAAAAATTTATATAAAACTTGGTGACCTCTGGATTATACACATAAAAAGTTGGCACCAAGGTAAAGCGAATTTATGAAATTTATACCCTTAGGGACTAGAATAGGGAATGAAAGTTTGCTGTACGAAAATGCAATACTATAACATTATAAACCAGATAGTATAAAATTTTATACAAGGGTTTATTTAGTGACATCATAACAAAATATATCTTCCTCAATTATCCTTCAAAGAATAAAAAATAACCTATAAAGAGAGTATTAGTGCTCTTAATAAATAAAAAAAAAGATAAAAAATAAAAAACATCTATCTAGCTCTCTATAAAGAAGTAAAAAATCATTTAAATCAATGCATGAAGGATTCGAGGTGTAACGCGAACGTAGTCGTGAGAAAAAGCTAGTAATTTATTAAATTATTTTATTTAACTCATTAATTTTCATTGAAAAAGATTTTTTGTAATTCGCCACTATATTAGTTAAAAACTAAGAAACTCATATCAATTTAAGTTTTGCGATTTTGACTTATACTTTTTACAAAATCTGAACACATTTTAAAAGAAAAAAAATTTTTGATAATATTTGTGTAGATTGACTACAAGTTGTATAACATAAATTTCTACGACCGGTCTACCTAGTGGTCTGCAGCATCGCCTTGTGGTGCAAACGTTAGCCTGTTAATCTGTGACGTGACGCACAACAGCCAAGAAAAGCAGAAGCGTGGCTAAGAATTTAGTAATTTAAAAAAAGTCTTTTAGATACAGTAGTAGGTATTAAAAAGTTTTGTGTTTAAATGGGGTTTGCCTTTAACAGTTAAAAAATTATATCGTAAAGTCTAACTTTCCGTAAGAATTCTTTATCTGTCATTGATCATGATCTGTCATCATGTTAACCTGATGTTTTGTATGTTATTTTGTTTTCTTCGAGGTTTTTTTGCTTGTTTTACGGATAGGTCCGATCGCATAATTATTATTTATAATGTTTTATTTAATGTTAACACTACTACTTTTTCAGTGAATCTTTAAATCTGTTGTTTTTTGTTCGTTATTTAAACATATGTATGTAATACACTCATATTAACACTAATTATATTTTTACGTTTTTATTCATCATTTTCAATGCCCCCCCCGGTTGCATCTTTGTAAAGGACTGTGAATTTTGTTCAGTGGCTACACCATTTTTCAAAATTTAAGCCAGCTGGTAGAATTCTATTGATCCTAGATGGCGCATCGTGTCATCTCGATATTTCTATCGTAGATGCAGCTGAGAATTTTGAAATTTCATTATACTGCCTGCCATCCAACACCACTCATGAGTTACAGCCTCTTGATAAAGCTGTTTTCAGAGCATTTGAACATTACTGGGACTCCGAACTTTTGCGATATTGGAAAGATAATCCTACCAATTTAAGATCGATCAAAAAATAGAATTTTGGAAAAATACTCAATCCAGTCTGGAAGCAATGCATGAGTATTTCCAATATACAAAGTGGTTTCAGGGCCACAGGAATTTTTCCTTTCGACCCCTCAGTAATACCGGAAACAGCTTTTGCGCCATCCGAGTTGACATTTCAAGAAATTAATCATCCGAATCAAGAAATCGAAGATGATTCCGATTCCGATGTGCCATTGAACGTGTTAGCAAAAAAACTGAAGCCGGCCGGAGAGTCTAAACCAGGATGTTCATTTTGGACCGAAAATTCAGTAACAGAGACCCAGCCCAAAACTAAAACTTCTAAAGTGAAAATTTTGGACGTCTCTATCGTTCGACCTGCTGCCACTCATCCAGCCACTCAGTCTGCCTTTCAGCCTTCCACTAACTTCACCAGTCTGCCTGCTACTCAACTAGCCACTTCAAGCCGCTTGGTCATCTAATCAGCCTGCTACTCAACCTACCGGTCAGCAAACTTCAAATTTGGTTATTCAGCCTTATTCTCAGATCTCTTATCATTCTGTCACTGGACAAGATGAAATTTAAAAAAAATGACAAATCTTTTGCCAACTCCAGATTTTAGCATAAAAAAACAACTAACTCCAAGACGAAAAGCAGTAAACTATAAAGCTCAGGTTCTGAAGAGAGACTTATTTTCGGAAAAGTCATCCAGCCAACGAATCCTTCAATCTTCCAAGCCTAGAAGCACAAAGAAAACAGAAAACGTCGAAGACTTATCCAGCTGGATGTGTATTGTGTGTGGAGTGGCTCGTGTTGAAGATATGCGGCAATGCTCGACATGTAAAAAGTGGGTACACGAAGATTGTGTAGGTCTTACTGCTAAAGACAGAGACGAGTTTGAATGTCCAAACTGCTCTCCATAGTATGGGCCAATTTTTCGCCATATTATTTTCACATGGGCCGTATTACCATAAGCGGCGAAAATAAGGCCCGTTTTTATTTAATTAAAAAAAAACTATTTTTAGCAGTTCGTTTATATTTGTTTTTGTTTAGAGTATTTGTTTATGTCATTTGATGATAAATAAAAGTTTTGGTATGAGAATACTTTTTTTTGCACATTCAGGTTAAAATACTGGAATAAAAAGCTGAAAGTGGGCCATATTACCCCAAATTACCTTACATGGAAACGTCATGTGAATCAATTGAAAAGAAATTATAATTTGTGTAATATACCTGATTCAAATGATGTGCTCATTAAACCTATTGAAACATTAAATGTAAAATTCTACCACATTAACTGATAGTGCAAATGTTAAACCGATAGAAGGTGATTGTGAGGAGGTTGATGGTGGTGAGGTCGAGTCGGGTTTTTCGGAGTCGGAGAAGAGTGATCGTACGTTAAGACGTCGAAGTAAACCTAAAGCTCCAGATAGACTTATAGTATGAATTTGGTTGTTTCATGGATTAGTTAGTAATGTTTTTTGGAATGTCTTTGTTTTGGGGGAAGATATGTGTTATATATTTGAATTATAGCCAAATAAACTTTTATGTTTTTTGTATATAGGTGTAGGAATGTTAAATATTTCTTACAGTTGTAGAGTGTAAAATAAACAGCGTTCAGAGCAACATCGTGTTCGTTTGATTCTTCCTAAATTATTTAAATTAATAATTTACTGGACAGAACACCCTGTATATTGTGTTAATTAATATTATACTAGAATAAAAGGGACTTCATTTTCTTTTGATAATGACAGTCAATGTATTTTATTGTTAAATCATTATTGTAATGAACTTCATTAGTGTTCCAATTGTTAAATTAAATAAGTTAAATATTTAATTGCCATATTGTAAGAGAGTTTTGATCGGTTTTGGTCGCTATAGTTTAATGCGAAAAACCCAACCGTTCGCGCCGCTCGCCCTACTCTGCTAGTGCAGGCTGAGTGGAGGGGAGCGCTAGTCAAGTACCTTGGCTGCAGCAGTTCAAAACGACAGTTTGTGGTCGTACGCGAAACAGTGAGTTCGAGTCCGGAGTGCCCCGCCAAGTGACCAGCTGCCAGCCGCCGATCGCCGCGGTACTGCGCTAGGTAAGCACCAGCCGCCAAAGTGTTCGAAGGTAGGTCATATTCTTGTTATGATTACTAGCGGTTACTGTACCACCTAGGCGCGTTTTAGGGATAAGGGAGAGTGAAGGTTGCCGAGCAGGCGAAAGAGAAGTGATTAAAAGCGAACTATTGGAATATGTAGCGGAATTTAATTACCTCGGCAGTTTGATTTCGGAAAAGGCCAATATCGACTCTGAAATTCAGCACAGGATTAGCAGCGCCTCAAGAGCATTCTGGAAATTAAAAGACAGGGTTTTCTACAATCATGACTTGAGTACAAAAACGAAACTTGCAGTGTACCGAGCAATTATAATCCCCATCATGTTATATGGGAGCGAAACCTGGGTGCCGTACCGCCGACATATGAACGCATTAAACAAGTTGCAACAGAGACACCTTAGACAATTCTTAAGAATCCGGTGGTTCCATCATGTCTCAAACGTATCGGTCCTTGAAAAAGCTAACTGCGAGAGTATTGAAGTCATGGTTGCAAAATCCCTCTTAAGATGGGCTGGTCACGTATGCAGAATGCAAGAAAACCGCATACCAAAATATCTGCTTTACGGTGAGCTTGTAGACGGTAAGAGGAGGCCGGGTGGACAACTCAATAGGTATAAGGACATTTTCCACGAAAACTTAAAGGGGATTAACATGCAGAATCATTGGGAAGAATCAATTCACAATAGAACTCAATGGAGAAGAATTGTAAACTCAGTTAACAGCGACAACCAAAAAGTAAAGAGGCAACAAAGCAATGAGATTTTTGAATGTCCGGAGTGCGGTAGGCAGATAACATCTCGTATCGGGCTTTTCAGTCACAGAAAAGCTCATGAAAGAAAACGCCTTGCGTGACTATATAATAATAATAATAATAATAATATGGTTCTTACATATTCTTTTGGAGTAGTCAAATGGACCCATATAGACTTGGAATCCCTAAATCGCCTGGTACGAACAACCTTAACCAAATTTAGAAATCACCACCCAAGAAGCGCTACGGAACGGGTGACCCTCCCTCGAAATCTTGGAGGTAGAGGTTTACTGGATGTTGTTAATGTCTGTCGGGAGCAAATAAAGAGCCTCAGAGAATACTTTTATACCGAGAACAGCAACTTTTACGTCACGGTGTCTTCAGCTGATGTCAATTACACCCCCTTGAACCTCAGTAGTAAACAATATGATGCTTTTCCAAGTCCTACATCAATCACTAATAAAATAGCTACTTGGGGAGCCAAGGAGTTACACGGACGGTACCCAGATGAGTTAGATCAACATCACATTGAAAAGGTGGCGTCATTGCACTGGTTAACATCGGGTTATCTCTACCCCGAAGCCGAGGGATTCATAGTGGCTATGCAAGACCAAGTGATTCCCAACACGCAACTACCGGAAACTCATCCTAAAGGAGAATATATCAGACAAGTGCCGTAGATGTGATTCTGGAAGGGAAAACATAGAACACCTTTTATCAGAGTGCAGTAATCTGGCGAGTACAAAGTATCTGGAAAGACACAGCAGAGTCGCATCGATCATCTACTTGGAGATCCTGAAACAATTCAACATTGACCGAGAAATCCAAGAGCCCTACTACAAATATCATCCACCACCCGTAGTTGAAAATAATAGTTTCAAAATATACTGGGATAAAACAATCTTAACAAATAAAACCGTTAAAAGTAACAGACCGGACATCACGCTTATAAATAAAATTAAAAAAACAGTTTTACTAATCGACATTTCTATTCCTAACAACAAAAATATACAAAGCAAGTTTACAGAAAAATTAACAAAGTATCAAGATTTGAGAATAGAAATAAAAAATATATGGCAAATGGAATCGGTACAGGTAGTTCCCTTGATTGTTTCAGCCATTGGAATTATCCCGGTCAACCTGAAAGAACAATTAAACGTAATTGGAATACCTGAAAATACTTACCGCCTAATGCAGAAATCAGATGATGCTGCTAACATTGTTCGTTCGTTTCTAGGTGATTAACAATAGCACCTTGTCTTGTCCCCGTGGACGGATAAGGCAGCTTTAAACCTGCTCTGAGCAGTGAAAAAAAATAATATTAATAATTAATTATCGCAAGATTTATCTAAAAATGCAAATAGTATTAGATCTTTTGGCTATTTTATAGAGTTACATATTATATTTTAACTGTTTTGTTCATGGGTATACATACTTGTACTATCTTATCATTTTCAATTACTGGTTGCTGATTCTCCTTAGAAAACTCGAAACTGTAGGATGACATATTTTCTTATTAGGGTCCATAGTACGTTTTTTATAATGAAATAAACAATTATTAGTAACACAAAGCCATAGCCCGCCAAAACAAACAACAACAAACGATCATCATATGTCAATTATGTCATAAATTATGGCATAAATTATTCGCGCTTCATGAAAATCGCAGATGACATCCAGCGTCTAGTCATCATGGTTACCGAACACGGTCGCTTAGTCAACTATTCAACTGTTGTCATCTGGTGAACGCACCCAATGAGAGAAATAGAGATCGTGAAGCCTATATTAACAATAACAAAGTCGGAGTTGTCGCTTTTGCTCTAAAAAAACACCTTTTCTTTGTCCAAAGCGAACATAATCAATTTTTATTACCGATTCATAGCTTTCTTGTTATAATTTAACAGCCCACCTAGACAAAACTAAGTGTGGGTTTACATGCATCCGTAATGAGTCGTCCGTCGTTGATTTTATGTAATTTTATTGGTTTATTTCAAAAATGACAGCTCAAACTTGAATATTATTGGACTAACGGAATAACGGACGACGCATTACGAATGCATATAAACTAACCTTTAAGTTGTTTATAATGCCATTTGGCATGAAATGATATGGGGACGAGCGGGTGTTCATATTGCCAATGCCGTAATAAAAATTCTTAAAAGAAATGTCAATGATTCAACCACGCCATAGTTGGAACGGATTATACTTTGGTCTAATAGCTGTGTTCCTCAAAATCGAAAATTTTTTCATTTGCATTGCAAAACTTTTTAAATTCCGAAGACTGAAAATATAACCATAATTGAACAGAACAGAAAAAGATGGCGCTCTTGGCTTGATAAACACGTGTGTGTGTGTGCTTCGGCTAATAAATTCTATAATTTAAGTAATTTAAGCGCCAGTACCTATTTTTTTACCTATATAATTTAAAAAGTGAATCTTCTTTTGTAATAATTAGTGCTTTAGTGCCAAAATGGGTAAAACAGAAACCAAAAGTCAAATTACTGTACAATCGGTAAATGCACGCTTGGACGAAATTAATTTCACGATGATTCAAACCAATGAAAATCGGGATGATACAGTGCTTTACATAAAGGATAGACCAGTTTTACCACTTTTTGATCCACCACATCTTGTAAAAAGCACAAGAAATAATGTTTTAAACAAAAATTTGTCATTTACTGTAGATAATAAAAAAATGTTAGGATCGTGGTCACATATTATTAAAGCCTACAATATAGACAAATCTAATAATATACGGGTAATGAGAAAAATAACAGATCAACATATCTACAAAGATAAAATGAGAAAAATGAAAGTTTCTATTGCAGCACAAATATTTAGGACAACAGTGGCATCTGCAATAAAATACTGTGCAATATCAGGAATAAAATCCGCTGATGGAGCTTCAGAGTTGGATGCGAGTATGCACTTAGAGATTAGAGGCATTAGATACTGCCGAATTATTAATATTTTTTGATATCCTGTTTGACAGCACTAATGGTAGTTTTGGACAGTCAAGTGTAGGAAAACTATTAAGAGGTTTTGTGTCCAATAAATCAGCCCATGTTAG